GTCCATTTCCTCAGTGATCTTCTACCTTTGTCCAAACTTGACGGGATGGCAACACCAAGAAACAGGTAGAATGGCCTATCTGTCTGTCCTGTCCAAAATAGTTTTTTTGCTACATTCTAGTTTTGAGTAATGAAATAAATTTCTCAATTAAGCACATTTGCTAAGTATTTTTAACGAAAATATCTCTTAATCTTTGTATTTCGTGCTTCTCTAGGCTTTACATCCTCAAGACGCAGACTCTTTATTATCACCGATTTCATGGTACCTACATTGATCCCATTTGCATGACTAGCAAATTAATCAACAATGAAGTTTGTATGCTTCGGTTTCCTAAACATTTCTCTACTCAACTTTGTTTCTTCTTTACTCATCAAGACATTTGTAAAAACTAAATTATCTTCCTTTTCCAACTCTACATTAAATTCGATTCCTCCCTCCAACCGATTCATTGCCTTCAGTAATTCATGTCAATTCTCTCTTTGTCGTGGATCTGCTAAAAGAGCAGCCACACAATTCTGAGGGATACGGAAGTGAAGCAAGCTTCAGAAACCTTTCTCAACATCATGACAGACACGACACCAGAACCTTAAGGTGACCGTAAGCCATGCATTCATTTGCAATTTCTCCATTTCACACAGACCAGCGCACACCTTAAAGGCATCCCTTGATGGTAAGTTTCATCAACAGACTCAAGGACTTACAATGTTTTCTTGCTTAGCTCCCATCTTGGCGAACAAACATGGCCAAACCTGATGCACACTGTTTGGACGAGACAATAACAACCCATAAATTGATGGTTAGATACATTGGCCTCCTTGTAAGGAAAGTTTTGATAGTTACCAACTTTCACTTAGCTACTATGAAAGGAACATTGGTTTCACAATGGATTTCCATTATGGATGTACTCATGATTAGAGAAGAGGGCAAGTTAGGGAGATATGTTTATATGAGACCAATCTATGCTATCTGTATACATGAGAGGTAAGATAGAGCCGTATAATGTTCTTGACCTTGTGTTAGCATAATGTTTTCACAATAATAAGTTCCTGCTCTGATGATGCACATGGCATGATTGACGAAAGCTTAGCCCCTTTTTCTCCAGAAACAAGAGAGGATGTTTCGTGGACTGCGTCAACTTGAGTGTTGTTTTAGAGCCAAACGGTTGTAGAATAAAAATGATTAACCATCGCTTTATAGTGAGATCAATTTACGAATCTCTTCTTCGTGCATTTTCATACGAAATGAAAGTTTCGCAAACAATGTTGTCTTAAAAGTTTCATCAAAATTCGCCATTTGAACCCTTCTCTAACGGTACACTCGATGGGCTATTGCAAGCATACTCGACCAACTAGACGGTCCCAACATATATTCGAGGAGGCTGTTTTGTGCTTTCTAAACTCACCAGACCTAGCGAACATTCGGTTTTACTGACGG